TATTAAGAATTTTTATAACTACGCTTTTTATAGGACACAGGGTCATCGGAAAGGGCAGAACAACGTCTGCCTGGCTAGCTAGTAATTAATATATATACATTGTGATGATATATTTATGATTCCAGTTCCAGAGTGGTGTAGCTTGAACAATGAAGGAGTTACCAAAGAAATTGGTGCAATGTTGAAGAGTTCTTAGTCTAAGTATAACTAAATAAAAGTGGCCAAGTGCGAGTCGGACTCGCCCATTAAGGGTTCCGTAGCAGCAAGTAACATATTTACGATTTATGACGTATTAAAAAAAACTACTTACTAGATCTCGTTCAAACCAATTTTCAGTGGAAGTTTACATGGTAATGTACATCATATAATTTTTTTGTTTTATCATTCTCTTATTTTAGAAGTTACATGGGGGGGGGGGGGGGCACACATTTTACCACTTTGGAAGTGTCTCTCGCGCAAACTATTCAGTTTAGAAAAAAAAATGATATAAGAAACCTCAATATCATTTTTAAAGATCTATCCATAGATACCCCACACGGATGGGTTTGATGCTCTCGCATAAACTATTCAGTTTAGAAAAAAAATGATATAAGAAACCTCAATATCATTTTTAAAGACCTATCCATAGATACCCCACACGGATGGGTTTGATGAAAAAAAGTTTTTGATTTTCAGTTCTAATTATGGGTAACCCCCAAAGTTTATTGTTTTTTTCTATTTTTGTGTGAAAATCTTAACGCGGTTCACAGAATACATCTACTTACCAAGTTGCAACAGCAGTTCTTATAGTTTCGGAAAAAAATGGCTGTGACATACGGATGGACAGGCAGACAGACATGACGAACCCATAAGGGTTCCGTTTTTTCCCATTTGGCTACGGAACCCTAAAAAGAACAAAGTATAACTAGAAGTTCAGTCATGAGTAAAAGAAAGGAACCGGAACTGTTACTGCCCGCAGCTGCCCCTGCAAAGTCGTCTTGGCTGGGGCCCATAGCAGCTTCCTCGACGGGCAGACGCGGGTCGGGCCCAATGGCCATATGGAAGAATGTCCTATCATACTAAACTATATGGGAGATGTTTCCGACTCCAAGATCGCCCCAAGGCTCGGTCAGTCCGTAAGTAGGTGTAAGGTGAATGGCAAGTAGTGTTTAGTGATGTGTAAGTGTCTGAGACCTGGACTAGCTTAGGTCACCAGCAGCGGCCGAGTTCCAGGCTGCCCCACAATGCTGCATCGCTCCAGCAGGCTCCACCGCTGGACCATTTCTTTCTTCATTGTCACTATTTCAGTCTATATTAGCTTCATTGTACATTTAACTAACTTAAACTCGCCTAATTCCACATTCATCGTAGAATCGAACACGTGATACCCGACACAGTACGGATCGTAGTTCAAAGTTCGACATTCAATGTCCCGGATTCACTTATCACAAAATTATAAATAGGGAACTAACGCGATCTCTTCATGAGTCACACGGTTCAGCGTTAAAGACAACTAAGTTCCTTCGTTCGATACCAAACCACCACGCCACGATAAGAATTCAAAATACGCCTCGTTGACACGTAAAACTAACAAACCAGCCAACACACAAAAAGGGCACTTAACGCGACGGCACAATTATAATGATTTCCAGACAATCAACCGGGAGACGCTCTCGAACAAGGAATGCGCGGTTCGAATCCTAAACCGTATATCTATTCGGTATGCGCGTGCGAAATTCCGCATCACCCGAGCAAGTTAAATATTGCAAAATTCATATATCCACGTAGCGAAGTAACATGCACTAAATCTAACCATCTGGACCCTACCGGTCGCGTGAACTTCTACCGCGATAACCTAGATACGCGGATTCATCGCATCGCGGCCAGCGAGCTACTCTCTTCCCCCACGCGTCGAGCCACTGAAATCCGCAGACGGCCGCCCCACCAGGCAGCGTTTACCTCACCTACATACCATCGGGTGACGCGCCAGCTCGAACGCGATTGGATGGCGTTCAAAATGACCAATTTTGGGCATAAACAGGAACCTTTATTGAAGATAAGAAGAAGTGTTAAGAACAAATAAAATTAGAGGAAATAAGCAAAATTCTAGAGTTACGCCTTTGGAGTCATGTTGAAAAATGTGATCGTATTTACGAAGGAACAAAATATATCTAGTACAGTTATTAAAAAGACGCTCTGGCTTGTTAAGATTCTGGTTTACGTCTGGGTAACATACATCGGCATAATCAATAATTGGAAATATTAATAATTGCTTAAGCGTTAGCTTTGATTTAAGAAGTAAAAAGTTTTTCCAACGATAAAGAGATCTTAGATGAGAAACTTTACCGACTCATATGGATGATGTGAGGCTCCCAGGTCAAGGAAATGTCCATATACAAGCCGAGATTCTTAACACAGTTAGAGAACACTATCGAGCAGTCATTGAAGTATAGGGAAGGCAACGTAATAGAGTCGATTTTAGCCAGCGATTTCGAACTTTCTACAATCATCGTTTTAGATTTGTTAGGATTGACAGTAACACCAAAGCGCAATGACCAATCGTACACATACTTAGGTACTTACTTAAGGTTTTAATATTCCGATTGCATTATGGATGTTATCAATATCAAATTGCACATAAAATTGCAAGTCATCAGCATACAGATGGTACGAACAATTAATATTGGAGGTAATAGAATTAATTAAAATCGAGAAAATTAAAGACGATAGAATACCTCCTTGCGGCATGTCAGAATTAAGGTCAGCCCACTGACAGGACTTTTGTCCTACGTGGACAGACTGCTGACGACTGCGAAGATAGGAAGAGAATCAATACACGACTGTGGGAGCAAATCTGAAATGGCAAAGAAGGGCAAGGATATCGTGGTCCACAGTGTTATAAGCATTAAAAAAGTCAACAAGCACCATTACTGTAACTTTCCTGTTTTCCATCCCATCTCTGGTGTAATTGGTGATTTTTAGTAAAGCAGTTGCGGTACTGTGACCTGGACAAAACTTGAACATTTCTTTTTTGTATATTTCCAATATTTAAATTAGGATATACAGTGAAACCTGGTTAATTGAGATCTCAAGTGACCGAGACATATGTACCAATTATTGAGGGTTTCCAATAATCCAGTTTTCCAATTAAGCAGGTGGTAAACATCGAAAAATCCTTAGAATTCAAATCTCATTTAACCAGGTTCAAAAAGTCCCATTAACAGAGGTAATTTAATGAAAAAGAACCGGGACCTCATTGCAACTTCTCACTTATCCAGGTCCCACTTAACCAGGTTTCACTGTACTAATTACTATAACATCGGATTAGATGATATGATTGGATGGATATGAAATATTGTAACATTTCAACATTATTTTAAGCCAATTTGCTGGATCAATATAATAAAACAGGTTCTAAAAATTTCAAAGCTAATAGAGCTGAAAGATATGAACACAGTAACTTGAATCATAAAATAATACTCAAATTTAAAGCTATAACTTGCTAAGTACAATAACACACATTTTATCATTAGTTCATCTTTATTATCATTATAGTTCTAATTTTGAAAATTACATCACATACTGTCTTTTAAAATAATGGTAAAAACAATGTGTCTATTGGCAAGAAGTAAAACATGTTAAAACTGGTCAGGTGGGACATAAATTATAATAATTTTCAGGTAGAAGCTTTCTTAACTGTGATAACATTTATTTCATGCATGCATTCTTGCTATGTAAGCTCTTCTACTGTTTGCTATGTGCTATGAACAAATATTGTATTATATGCTAAACTCGTACAATTTCTTATATGCTTAAAACACAATTGCCACATATACTTTTTCTATTTAAACACACAGTAAAACCATTTATATTACAATATGTTTTTAATTAAAAAGGGCTACCAGATGGAAAATTGAAAAGTCCTGACATTTTCTCACTTAAAATGAAACTATGCAAAAAAAAAAATACAATTGTTGGCTTTGTGCACTCACACGATCAATCTGCACAGTGTGTCCTAACCAAACCAAAGTGTTATTGTACATTTGAAGTAAATTTAAATTCATAATACAAAAAAAGATTGTTTTTGTTGATTATCCATACTATGATTATAACTTTCAAATAAAATAAGAAAGTTAAAATTTGATGTATTTTATTGAAAAATCTAAAAAAATATTGACAATACCAAAATTTGGTTACACTTCTGACATGTCAGAACTAATCTTGACATATGGTAACCCTAGTAAGACGTAAGAGTGTATGCTAAATATATTATGTCAGTACTCAAAACAATGTCATGACAAGATTAGGAAATAATATTATGTACTTCATTCTATTTAACAAGTCAGGAACTATATTGTCTGTAGGACTTGTTGAAATTGATTAGTTAATAGGCCATAGAATTTACAAAACATGCAGGCCATTTCTAATGTTTTTTTCTTAATCTACTGTATGCTTCAAATTTTTGACAGTAATGTAAAACAATATGAACATTAAAGGTCTAAAAATAAAACAATTCAAAATAATACATAGTAATACTAATTCCCTAAAGGACTTAACCCTTGCACGAGTAGTAAAATTACTAGTGAATAAATATGACACTATAATATGATTCATAACAAAAATTGAAAATCACTAAATTATTTCAAATAATTTATATTTTAACTATATAAATATGTACCTGTATGACAGAAATCAATTTTAATTTATCTAAATAATGCATATTTGTTGCATGTTTAAATTCTATAGTGATTGATTCTAACACTGCTTATACAAACTACTTCATAAGACAGTTCATAGTGTAATTTACATTCAAAAATATAGAAAATTTGCTACTCCACAAACAAGACACAGTGGCTGGAATATGAACTACCCAAACCAAACAACATTGGCATTTCAATAGTGAGCATGCCATGTGTAGACCAGGAGATTCTTCCTTTAGATGCATGATGTGACCTATGTTTCACTTCACATGGCCAAATTGGCCTTTCACTAATTTCAAACAGTGTTAGAATATCAAAATGTCATAAGTCAGGGAAACGTAAAGGATCTTCTGTATAATCCTCAGGTATTATAAACATATCTGGAAGTATATTTTCACGGAAATCAAATTTCTGAAAGGTTATTTTTGCTGTAACTGTTGGCAAAATGGGTATGTCTATTTTGACTGGAAATCCTTTAGGTAACTTCATAGCTACAAATTGCCGCAATTTAGCAAAGTGTTTAAATGGTGCTATCACTTCCAAAACATTAAGTAACATATCCACACTTAAAGGGAATTCATCACTCATGGCAATAGTGGCCCGGAAGTTTCTAGATGACTCTTTGTAAACTAGCTCTCTACCCAAACTGGGATACTGTCCAGGAGGAGATGATATGTATGTTTCCCAGTCTACTCCACTTTCAGGTGGAGGATTTAACGATGCACGACGAGTTGGCTCTCCATTTGTGTCCAAGTTCTGTGTATTACCTTTTGTTAAACTTTCTATAATTGCTTTATTTTTCTGCAAATCGTCTGTAGATAAATGTTCTCTTCTTTTACGAGATTCTAACACTAACCCAGTTATAGTGTAAATATCACTTTTATATAGGCCAGCAACAGTTTCTTTACGATCTTCACGGAATATCCAACCTGACTGGGCCCTTGAAAATAAAATACCTTTGGTAGACATCTGTGCAGCAAGAATATCACTTGACATCAAAATGTCTACTTCATCCTCAATTTCATTTTCTGTTTCTTCATAACGCACTCTCTGATATACTTTAGCTTTATTATCTAAAACAGTTAATGCCTCACCTGGTGGCTTTTCTCCTTGAAAAATAAAAGAAATATCACCTCTTTCCCATTTCATATCTGTGAAGTCAACTAAAGTTGTGTCTAATCTGATTCCAGAGCCAGCTTTATAAATTTTACATACATCAGATGGTAATATCCTGGAAACTAATGGTACCCATGAATGAAAATCCCATTTTAGTTCCATATAAAAATCCTTTATTTTAGCTAGGGCTTTAATAAGGTCAGGTCTTCTGCGATCCATTTGCTCTCTAGCTTGCTGTTTAAGTTTTCGAACAAGTGATGAAATTGTTTGCCGATCGCCATAACTAATTGCCTCTGCTAGAGGCGACCACCCAGCTAGGTTCTTCACTTTTACTGGTGCACCATGTGCAAGGAGGAGTTGCACACATTCTTTGCGACCCAACATAATGGCCAAGTGCAGTGCAGTGTTGCCATGTTTATCTTTTTGAGTAATATCATTATATCTGAGTAGTGATGATAGTTTACGAACGTCGCCCACAAAAACACATTCATGTAGAGGAAAGGAATCATCTTCTTTATTACAAACAGAGCTAGACATTGCGTACGTGTAGGTCTTATTTAATCATCACTTACGTTAGTTATTAATTACGCAGGATATCTAAATACACCGGATTGGAAATTTGATCAAAGTGATAAGATTAGTTTTTGCGAAATTAACAATATTGTACCCATAACTTTGGTTGGTTTCTAATGAAATTTAAGTTCCATTTCCAATATTTCATGTCACTTGGTTGTCTGGAAAACTTACAAAATATGTTCAATACCCTCGTACTAGAACAGAATGTGCATTTTAATTAAAAATAATTTGGTTTTTAAATAATTCACTATTTTACATCGAACTGTTGCAGCTAATTGACAAATCAGAATCAGTGTCACTTATGTCAATTTGACATCGATGACACCGTTACTGCTGTCAGAACCAGTTGGAACAATTTTATTGAGACTGAGGCTCTAAACGTAAATCGATATTATTTTAACGTACCTACATAATTTAATATTTGTTTTTCTTTCAGGTTTTACTGTAACATAAAATTATAAAAAAAATTCTTATCGATTAATTTAGGCGACCTCGACTCAAACACACATATTATTTACCTCGACTAGATGCAGTTTTTTTTTCTTTGGTTATAGACTCGTGCGGATATACTTTCGCCAGTGTCAAATAATACGAAACAGTTTTCATGTATAGTGTACAGTTTTCTTTAAAACTGGGAAAAAAACCGCGCTTAGGGACACTTTCTGGGGCATGGGGGGGATGCTCACCCGGGAGGGGGGGGGGGAGAAAGGATAAAATTTAACTCTGGTTTATAACGCACTTTATTTCGCTGAATGGCCAAATCAATTAAATTTTAAAAGTAGCAAAGCAACGTGAAATCAAAGAGTTGAGAAATAAGTTATACCTCTTTTTAAATAGCATATTCTATTCTTTATTTTAGTTATACATGTCTTAAAGATAAATTGGGAAATTTTTGAGATTACGAAACTGAACAAAAAATATCGATAAATGATAAAAAATGTTTATATTTCGTGGCAGATTGTGCGGAAATTGTAAGTGATGTCGCTTTTATATGTATAAGAGGTTTATAGAAAATTAATCAAGGGTTATTTCATACCTGCACACTTTTCATGCACCTTGTACGATTTTCTTTAAAACTGGAAAAAACCACGCTTCGGGACACTTTCTTCGGTGCGACGGGAATGGAGGGGGGGGGGGGACGCACACCCGGGAGAGGGGGGTGATGCACACCTGGGAGAGGGAGGGAGCATGGATAAAATTTAACTTCGCTCTATAACGTACATATGCCGATAGATAAAAGTACTCCATTAATTTTGCAAAACCCTCTCAGAAATGAGAGGAGGCCTGTGCCCAGCAGTGGGACGTAAATAGGCTGCAACTTTACTTTAACTTTACTTTTTTACAAATCCAAGTTTATTTTAAAAGTAGGTCGACTATTACTTGCTAACTTGTTAAGCCTACTCAGCTGTGATACTTTTCTTTTAACTTCATTATATATACTACCATCGTGCATACTTTACACATTTCCAAAAACAGCTGTTTAGCTGGAAAAGGATTTATCCATATAAGGCAGTGATTCCCAACCAGTGGTCCGCGGACCACCAGTGTTCAAGCAAGAATTTAAATATGGTCCGCAAATGATTTGAATATTTTACCTACCTAATTCTTTTTAATAGCACCTTTATTATTTTCTCGTTACGTGGGCAGTGTAACACCGCACGTCGTGTCGCAACTAAAATCGCAATTTTATACCAAACATGTATAATTTCTTTTACAATAATTACACAAATTATAATACTGTGAATGAATGCTTCTTTTCAGTTTATCGTATAATATAAAATATAATATGATAGAAGATTTAAACAAATTAAAGGACCAGATAAATGAAATAAGGATATACTTAATAAAGACTGAAAGGAGAAATATTAAATAATCATTTAAAATTAAAAACGATTTGTATAACCGACTTAAATATAAATTAATATGAATAACTTAAAAACTATTGATCAGACCTTGATTATTTTTATATGAGACCTCATGCACAAGCACCAGCTTTCAAATAAAAAAAAAGAATCATCGAAATCGCTTCATCTAGAAAAAAGTTATAAGATAACACACATTAAAAAAAAAGAAAAAAAAAAAACATATAGTCGAATTGAGTACCGTCTCTTTTTTAAAGTCGGTAGAAAAGTCATACAATGTATGCAAATTATTTAGAAGTAGTAGATAACTTACAAGAACTAACAAGCAGGTAATTTAACTAGTGATGTTATTGATTTATTAAACCAAACTAAAGACAAATATGTCACTTTGTATGACGAAGTAATAAATTTATGTAAGGAACAAAAGGGGAAAGAGGAAACAATGGAAACTTTCAGTTTAAAAACAGCTTTTGGCTTACTGCCAATAATTACTAAGGAAGAAAAAGTGATACAACAGTTAACGGATACTATAGATATTAGTGCTCTATTTTGAAAGAAACAAACTGTAAAACGGTTAATAAATTCTGTGCTATAAAGTAGGTTGTCATAATCAGCAAAACTAAAGTTGGATGCAAATTATTCAACAATAAAACAATTGGTACACGATATGCGATGTAAATTACTAGCGCAAAAGCTGCAATATCAATTCAGACAAAATTACTATAAATACGTCAAAATCAACCAACATTAACGGACTATGGACAAGAGCTGGCACAACTACTCGCAAGGCACTTAATGCTGAGAGGTTCTAAGATTGACACCATATTCCGAGGTATTTGAGAAAAATGCGTTTACGAGCGATTTACAAACTCTTCCTTACTGCAAGATCTTTTATCAAATTGTTAATATTACTTTGCGTAGTTATATCATCAAAAAACTGAAGTAATGTGTATACATTTTAAAATAATTGGTTGGTTTTGCGTCAGCAGTCGGTTTGAATCCACGCTTATACATTTTGCACGTTGTGCACGTATCATGTAGTATCATGTTTTTTATATTGATTTTATTTCGTTATTTCTGTGCGATCTGTGTAATTCTTTGAATTAACTATTTCCTTCATGGATTATGCTTTTAATCTAAAACACTAAGCTATTCTATGTTTTTATGAATAAATCAAGGTGAAGATACTTCTTGTAAATACCGCGGCATTGGTGCCAAATAATTTCAGCCGTTTTCTCATTCCGATGTATACCGCGTAACAGCGATTTCAGATACTTTTTTAATTTTCAGGGATGCTTTTATGATTAGGCCCTTCCCGCTTAGGGTCCGAGAATTCAAAAAGACCATGAATACTAAAATCTATTTTCGAGGTATACTTTTGCATTTCATTCACTAATTATAGAATGTCAAAGGTGATCTATTTAAGTATTTTGTTAATTCATTGTATGGGAAAGCTTGACGGACAGTTTAAGTTCATACACAATTCGATGAAATTTTTAGCAAGTACCTACTATATTATATTTTAGATGATTTTGCAATAAAGTATTTAACTATATATAATTATGCAAAAATCTTGCCTTTTTTAATTCTGGGATATAGGAAACGAGATTTTTTGGTATGAAATTCAAATTCAAATTCATTTTATTCATTTTCGATATATGGGTTACAATAGGTCTTAATAATTTAACAAAAATACAGCCATATTCTAACTTTCGGTGTGCCAACTACTTAAATACAAGATATTATTTATAATTAAAATGGAAAATTCTGATAATTACATTAACATAATATAACCCTATTTGTATATTTGCACTACTAACATAATAATAATTCACAAAATAATAATATAATAAATGTAATAATTAAAATTGTAATGTCAAAATAATAATGTCAAAACGAGTTATACAATATTATGTCTCAAAATTAATAACATAGATAACGTTGTGTAGTTTCATTCAATTTTAAAAATTGTAAAACAAATAATCATCAATTTTATAATAGGCTTTTATGGTTAAAAATATGTTTAGTTGTTTCTTAAAAATGTGAAGGCTCTTAGAATCTTATATATTTAGGTAAATGGTTATACAGACGAGGACCTACACAGAATACGCTTTTTTGAAACAAAACAGTCTTACTATTGGGATGGCTCAATTTATCTTTATGACGCTGGACATTTAAATTTTTGTAAAGACTTAAGTTTTGACGTACAAATAAGACTACATGAGTTCGTCATGAGCTTAGCCAATTCATGATTTTCTCTAAAGCAAAATGTTATTTTCTAAATCTATTTTGTTTTTACATAACATATATACATAAACACTCACGCCTGTCACCCAGAGGGGTAGGCAGAGATTATGGACTTCCATTTAGCACGATCCTGACACACCTCTCTCGCTTCCTCCACATCCATATACCTACGCATACACGCTCGTCGGTTAAAGGTACTATTTGGCCCATTTTTAATATATCGCCAATTTGGTCGATAAACTTTCGCCTTTGTTTTTACTAGTGAAAATAACTGTGCTATCGTCAGCAAATAATCCTATTTCGTGATTAATGACGTTGGGAAGTTCGTTGATATAAATAAGAAATAACAATGGTCCTAAAACACTTCCTTGCGGTACTCCAGTTTGTACGACTCTGTATTCAAAAACATAAGTTATTTCTTTTCTTGATTTTAGATAAATTTTTGTAATGTGTAAACTAAATATGATGTTAGTAGATCTAGTGCATTACCTCGAATACAGTAGGCTTCAAGCTTTTTGAGTAATATTTTATGATCAACATAATCAAATGCTTTAGTAAGATCCATGTAAAGTGCACATATAGGTATTTTATTGCTAAGGCTAGACATAGCGGTATTAAAAAAATTGTAAAGAGCCATATTTATAGTCTTATTTTTTCTAAATCCTAATTGTTCTTATCTAAGAATATTGTACGTTTCGAGGTAGTTATATAAAGAGTTATAAATTATTTTCACAAATACTTTTGAGAGCACAGGTATAAGTGCAATAGGGCTATAGTTAGATTTTGGTACAGGTAGATTTTGTTAAATAAATAAAATAAAAAAATAAATAGTTAGACATTTTCTCCCGATCA